AGCAATTGAGCAACGACATCACGCGGAACAGCCTCGGCAGCAATGAAAAAACCGGCCGGTGCATCACGATCACACGATATTTCACCCAGCCTCCAAAAAGGCCCAGGTAANCACATCAGCGGCGGGCCAGCGAGAAATACCATCAGCAAGCGAATTGAGCACACCAGGCACATGGGACGATTGGAAAAGCCACCCGCTAGACACTTCAATCGCCCCCAGCATCCGCATGAGCGCGCCTGACCGCGGCTCCTTGCCTCCGCGACACCGCTCAATCCATGCCACACTCGCTTCATTGTCTCCCCGCAACTGGATGCAGTCACCAGCCGACACCGGCACATGACGCTGTTGCACAATCAACACCCATGCCGCCGTGACCATGTCGAGTAGCTCAAGAACACTGATACTGACATCGGCACACTCGGATACAGACTTGCTAGACCCCACAAAGCGGGACTGCTCGTCACACGTCAGATCACGCCGGAAATAACACCCAGTTTGCACACAGTATGCTCCAAGCGCCGTTTTGGAAGCATCGACAAACACAGCCATTACCGGAGGACGAAGCACCGCATTGTACAGCGGTGCACACAACTGGCCGCCACGCGACGCCAGACCTCGCTGCACAAACCAGCGCCAAAAATCCAAATCATCGTGAAACATGGGCCCCAACACGACACGCCGATTGGGGTTAGAAACACTCGAAGGAAACACTTCGGACTGCGGCATGCCGACGTCGGCCAACAGACAGCCGACGAAAAATTTGCCCGGACGCAAGGCAAAAGACACGTGAAGAAGAAAACCGGTCAATTCCGCGACGTGACGGGCAGTCGCACACCGACGCGACCGCGGCCACTCGCCCAACAAACGGTTTAATTTCTGTTGTTTTCGCAGAGGCATGGTCACTGTGAGAGTTTGCGTGTCTAAAATCCATCCCAACACCTCCAAACGCGTCGAAAAATCGGTGATTTTCTTTGCAGACAACAACGGAGGATCGTTTGGCCCCCGGTGTCCCAGCAGACGGAAATGGTCCGACGCGATCGACTGCACTGCACGTAGGCAACGACGACCATCCGTGAAAAACCGCGCCTCGACAAGCACACCGTCATCCACATAATACCGAACGAAAAACGCGGAACCAGCGAAACAGCCCTCCATAGAAATTTGGGCACAATCACGCGGTAACGATACGGGGAAGTTTTGGGGAGGAACAAGCTGAACATGATCAACCGCCGCAACTCCGGCAGGCAACACAGAAGCTGTCTGAAAAGTAGTGTGGGTGTGTGCATGCTCAAGAGCGGAACCAAACAGCGACCAAAAACCTGGGCTGGAACGCCAACCAAACTGGCAACGAAGGTCGATGACGACCACGTCCCCCATCGTGTATCCGAATACCGACGCCCTCGAAGGGTCGACCAACACTTGGCGAAAAGCCTCACGCACGTCAATACGGCAGAGCAAAATCTCGAGGGTCGGCCCGTGCAATTGGCACAAAAAGAGGACGCGCGACAAGATATCGAAAAGTACATAACCCAACAGACACTCGGGGGCACGATCAAAACTGTATCTGCATTGACGCTAGACTACGCACCAGCCGCTGTGAATGTGAGATCATGAATGATGCGGAATTTCGGATCGTCCACCACCCCAAGGGGGGAAACACGCACACCCAAAATTTCACGGATGAACTGCACGTCGAAGACGAGAGCACGACCTAACGTAACATCCGAAACGATCTTGTCAATGATCTGCGGAGTGTATGGTAAAATGCTGGAATGGTTGCCGTATTTTAATTCGGCGTCTAGACACCCCCCCGGCGCGACATCGACCGGCGCGCCAGGACACAACACGCGGAGGAGGTTGTCAATTTGCGGAAAACGTTTCGAGACCCCAAAAAAATCACGAACCGACGCCACACTGAGATGGGGCGCAAAGAAGCCGGCACCACTGGCCACCACGAGCACTTCAATACGCCCCCCACACTGTCTAAGCAAGGCGGAACCAGCGGAAGCCACCTCACTAAGACCCACACCCATATCGGAGGGTGAACTCACCGCTGCCAAAGCAGACACACGAGATCGCCACACGCAAAGTTCACGCCCACCCGCAATCGACCTAAACGAGACATCACCTGGTAGCAACAAGAGACAGCCCCGGGCACACACGCCCCTCGATCGACGCCCACGCCCGCCGCCGCCAACGCGGCGGCCCCAAGCGCTCGGGAACCCGGCCTCGCTGTCTGATCTACGCTCCCACACGACTGTGGAGTTGGCCCCGCCGAAAGGCAGAGCCCGTGTCCTCAGTTGCTGCCATCTCCCCGGCGAACGACCAGCGCCGACGAGCCGCTTCCGCCATCGGCCGCGGCTCCCGAGGCTCCCCCTCCACCCGAAGCGCGGCCCCCACCGCCGCCCTTACGGCCACCCTGGTCGCCATCGCCGCCGCCGCAGAAACGTCACGGCAGAAAACAACCCTTGGCCACCACACGCACACGTGCTCTCGCTCGCCCCCGGTAAACACGGCGAAGCGAGTAGACTGAAAACAGAAACCAACACGCTCGTCCGCTTCCTGCTTTCTGATTGGCCAAAGGTTTATTTCTGCCGCTTCTCACAAAACGCAGATTTCCCTTACTTCGTCAGTCAATCTTTCGCGTATCCAACACCAATGTTCGCAGACCCATGAACACCCCCCTGGTTCTTCACGCAGGTGACTAACCATCAATGGGGCAAGAACGCCACTGGATACATCAGAAATAACAACATGGTATTATATGAATGGGAAAACCAACGTCCGGGCAAAACCCCTCGAATAAAACCCTTCCACCACAAAAACCGTCGCTATCACAGCGGATCACAACGGCGGCACTCATTAGAAAGTCCAAGGCAACAGCTAGAAACTGCTACAGCTACTCCGGCAAATTCATCAACTTGCGTCGGTGGTACTGCAGGCTGGCGCTGCTAAGGGCGTTGGTAAGGACGTCCGCGTGTTGCTCCGTTGTCGGAACAAACTTGACCGCAATATCCCCCGACCTCAACAATCCGCGGATGAAATGAAACCTCACGTCGATGTGTTCCGTGCGACCTGAGCTGAGGGGGTTCTGCACAAGCGCTATGGGCCCTGGTTGTCCTCAAGGACCTGGATGCTGCTACCTCTGGTCTCTGGGGCATCAAACGAAAGCACAGCACGCACAAACAACGCCTCATTGACACCCTCCCCGGCAGCAATGTACTCGGCTTCCGTCGAAGACAAAGACACGATGCTCTGTGTCTTGCTGCCATGGCTGGCCACGGTACCTCCAACCGTCGCCGAACGCCTATCCTCCGTGTCGGCGTAGCTAGCGTCTACGTACACGGCCAGCCCTTACCCCGGTCCCCGTTGGTAGGTGATGCCGAGGTCCCTCGTCTCCTTTAAGTAGCCGAGGATCTTCTGGATGGCATCCCAATGCCTCTTCGCCGGGGCGTNGCGTCTTGCTACCATGGCTGACTACGCCATGGCTGGCCACGGTACCTCCAACCGTCGCCGAACGCCTATCCTCCGTGTCGGCGTAGCTAGCGTCTACGTACACGGCAAGCCCTAACCCCGATCCCCGTTGGTAGGTGATGCCGAGGTCCCTCGTCCCTTTCAGGTAGCCGAGGATCTTCTGTATGGCATCCCAGTGCCGCTTCGCCGGGGCGTGGGCGTGGCGCGCTACCGCACGCACGGCGAACGAGACGTCTGGACGCGAGAAAGTCGACACCCACATCATGCTGCCGATGGCCTCCCTCAGCGGCCACTCCCCTCGCTCCTCATCCTCTCGCTTCGGCCCTAGGTCGGCACCAGGGGTAGCGGGAATGCGGGAAGTCGATTGCACATCGAAGGGTTTAACCATGCTTTCGATATACGCGGTTTGGGAGATTCTAAGAGTTCCAGCCTCTCAACTTCTCTCGATGGCACACCCATCAAACCATTGACACTCTCCAAGGTTTTTGGTGGGAAATTTCTTGTTGAGAGAAGCAAGCAACTCCTCGCAATCCTCGTCAGACCCAACCACCAAAATGTCATCCACGTAGATCACGATGATAATCATCACCACGACTTCGTCTACCATATTGGGGAAAACAAACGGGTCCGCCTTGCACTGTTCAAACCCGTTCTCGACTGGCGTATCAGCAGCGTGGTACCCCCACTGCCTACCGCTCTGCTTCAGACCGTAAATCGCACGCTTAGCTAGAACAACTTGATGTGATTTGTCCCCGCACTCAGCGGGGAGCCTCAGAAAAACCGCCTCGTGTACTGTGGCGTATGTGTACGCCTGCTTCACATCCCAGTGATTGAGGTTTATGCCCTTCTCGTTTGCTACCGCAAGCATCAGCTTAATGGATGCGGATGAGGGGCAAGGGGAAGACGAATGGAAATAATCGACGTTCGGGATTTGCGAAAACCCC